ACAGCATCCCCAGCTCTCCCAACAGCATCCCCAGCTCTCCCAACAGCATCCCCAGCTGTCCTAATGGCATCCCGATCTCCCAACAGCATTCCCAGCTCCCAGCGGCATTCCCAGCTCTCCTAACAGCATCCCTGTTTCTCTTTCCAGGCTCGGCCTTCCCCTATGCGGGCAAGGGCAGAGCTGGTGCCCCCTGCTCCACTCCTGTGGCTTCCTTGAGGGCCTCTCCAGCACTGGGAATCATGATCCTGCCTGCCATGAAGCCATCCCCAATCCAGCCTGCATGGTGGCAGGTCCCTCAGTGCATGAAGGCTTTGGAATTATGAATTCCAGGGAATCACAGTCCTGCAAGGAGAAAACGGGGGACAAGAATGTGTGCCCCACTTAGGCCGCGCTCCGGGCCCTTCGCTTCCCCCCGCATCCGTGTCTCCCGGCCCGTCCGGCTCTCCATGGGCCGCATCCACGTGAGGAGCCGAGCCGGGGCTATAGGAAGGTACGTGGTGAAGCCAGGCCGGGCAACACAGAAGTTAAATAACTCCCTGGCTGCCTCGTTTTGTCAGGGGAAGATCTTCTAATTGGAGCTGAAGGCTGGGATCCCTCCTCTCCCACCCTTGGCCCGGTGCGAGGATTCCTCCGGGCAGGCAGGGCTTCTGCAAGAGACCTGATATTTGGGTTGCGACTAATTTATTTTCCCTTTCCTGGCTCAAAATGTCTCCCAGCTCCGTGCGAGGGGAGGGAGACGCTCCGGGCTCCGTGGCGGCCGGGCGCTCCGACACAGCCGGGCCCCGACACCGCATGGCTGGAGCGGCATCCGCGGAGCCTGCGCGTGCCGGGGACACCTGGGGACATCCGTCCTGCTGGGTGAGCCGGCTGCGGGCGCCGGGCACCACGTGCCGGGGTGGCCTTGGACATCCAGGAGCAGCCGGGTGGGTAAATGAGGATGCTCCCATCGCATCCCCTGGCACAGCCGCTGCCTGGTTCCCGTGCCAGCCCGTGCCGAGCTCCTGCCCGCGGTGCCGGAGCCGTCCAGGCTGGGACAAGCCCTGGCTGCCTCTTGCCATGGCTGCGGCCTCACTGGCCTTCACACTTTCCCGCTGCCTCCCGGCTCCCGCGGCTGCAGTGTCCGAATGAGGAGCCGTTTACCCCCCGCCCGCCCCGCCAGCAGCTCGGCCAGAGGAGGGG